CCACCCGCTCGTCTACCGCCTATACCATAACAAAGGCGTTAACAGAAACTTAATGGCCAACGGTTGAACAGTATTGACTTTTTGCGTACTATTCAAAAATTTTATAAAGTATAAAACTAGAATTTAATGTGTAAATAAAATTAAAATTAACTAAATAATATATATAATCAACTTCAATGCGCCTGCATGATAAATTATACAAAACAGTTTTATTCATTCTTTAATTTTGTAATAGTCCAGTCCTGTGCTGACAGGCCTCTCCTAAGATATTGGCCTATTATACCACGCTGGCCAGACGAGTGTAGGTGTAGGTTTGTGAAAAGTTTTACTTCTCTTTGCAGTGCTGAGTTGTCCTGGCTGTCTTGCGTAGTTTTTCCCCTTAGTCGGCTCTTACGACACCCACGGAACGAATAGAAATGGTGACACTCCGTATTCTTAATCCGTCACCACATGGATAAGGATTAAGGCATTATGTTTACATAAACATCTGATCGATTTTTTTATAAACTACTTTTAATCTAAGGATGGATTTTCTGTCTCTTTCCAAAAACAAGCTTTAAGTTTAATAGTGTGGTTACGCGTCATCTATCGGTATATTTTAGAATCACAAAGCTGTCAACTTTACATGTTGTACACTTTTGAGACTTGGTTAAGAAAGCCTAAAGAAGTTCACAATGTACATTCTAGATGGCGCTTTAATCAGACAGTTGCAAAATTTAACTAAAGTTAAGGTACCACTAACTGGATGGCAGTGAAAGCCAATAAAATCATACTTCAGTATGCTCCTTTTAAGATGTTAGTGTAAGTGAAAGCTTGGGTACCAGGGCTTTCCTTTCTAGGGTATGCCTGGTTCCCCGGCTACTGGTACCTAAATACGGTGTGTAGTTTTTGGTGGGTGGTATCCAAGGCTCCCCTTCGTTCCGTTCAAAAAAAAAACAAAAAGAAAGTGTAAGCTGTCGGTAGTGGTCGGTGTGAGGACAAAATGAAACGTAGGTAATAAAATTTAAGAATCTCATTGATTATAAATTATTATAAAAGAGATGGACCACCAGGACATGAAGACTTTTTTTCCGTTTTTTTCTTTTCTGTGCGGAAATCCCCTCGGTGGTTATGTCGGACTCTAACCGACTAAAAACCGCACGCCGTCTCAGGTATCAGTAGCCGTGGAACCAGGTGTACCCTATGAAGGGAACCCGGTTTCTGGCCTCCCCTTGCTCCCCCTAGTAGTGTTAAAAAGGATTAAAAGGTATTCAATAAATGTAAAGTAAAAGTTGTTGTAAATTGCAAGCACTTAGTTTTCCTAGTGAATTTCAGTTGACAGATTAAAGCTCTGAAGCTCTGTGTACGGACGTATCTACTAATTGTTTTACGAATTTCTGCTTTTGGACAAAGTAATGTGTTTTATTTTGTAAACTTTAACTATCTATGATATGTATTATATTATATAGGTAGTATATACAGGTCCAACTACCAAGGCTGACTTTAACGGCACGGATTGCGTAGTGGTTTAAGCGATCACCCCACCACTTCCTACTACCCTGAGTGTTGTGGAATCGATCCCCACATGGGACAAAGCTTTGTGTAATCCACAAATTATTGATCTCAGTCTGGCTGTTTGTTGTGTCCGTTTCATGACTGTTTGTGGGGTCACGTGACACGGGATATGTAGGATACATATCTCGTGTCTGTGTTGTCTTTTTTAAAAGGAAGGAAAAGAAAAAAACTAGAGACTTCTATGACAGGACGCCGGGCACTGTCATCCAACAAAATTAATCGTTATACAGCCGCATGCCAAAGATGTCACATGAAAAAGTTAAAAAGGGGGCGGAAGGGGGTAATCCAGTGCTAAAATTAATGAAACACGTCAATATTCTTGATATTTATTTTATTTATAAGTAAATAATTTATTAGTTTCACTGATGTAGTTAACTACAACACTGTCAAGGTAGATCAAAAATCGCTTACAACGTACAAAACGGATAATTCAAGTGGCGACATCATGTTACGGAAATACTAAAGTTTTGTATATAGATTGATAGGTTATAAAAATTCTGAATATTTAAAAACAAACTAGTTAAGCAAAATAATATTTTTTTTGATACAGATTTGATACAGTATTGAGAAAATGCTAACGACCTATTCCTGCGCTACAACTTAGTAAGTAGTGCAAGTACCTACTCTTTCTTAAGTAAAAGGTAGTTTGACGTGGTCTTCCTACAGTTGTAGCATAGTGTGTAAAATATCAATGATACATGGCAAGTTATAGTAAAACATCAACAGGCTAAGCTACTGTTATTACAATATAGTTATCATACCAACACGTTTCGCTCTAAGGCAATGTATAACAATTAACATCTCTCGTGGCACACAGACACACACTCAGCCAAATAAAGCTTAATTCAAATTTCATATTCTTTTTCATAAAACTGTTCATAAATTATTTGTTATTTTTTTAAATAACATTTAAAATCCGTACAAATAAAGTTACCTCAACAGTAGGGTGCTTTAACAACATTATTGATCACAAATAAAATCTAATGATGTCAGTCTGTGTCGACCTATAAACGTCCAATATCAAATGATGGAGTTTTGTGAGAAGAAATGAAACAAAAAATAAGTTACAGTATAAGTTAGTTTAATTTTGTTTCAAATAATTGCAAGCCCCCGCTATAGGACATCGGAACCTCGAACCTTTTAAACTTTTTGTCATAATTTGATTTTAAAATTTATATTTAAAAATTACTTTACCGACAAATATTTAAAATAATGCAACTCTTTGACTAAAAGTCGTACGTATTTTAAGTAGAACGTTCCACATTGAGTTTTAAAGTATTGAATGTGTGTCTGTGTATGTTTAGAACGCGAAGCCGCAGTGTAGGTACTCACTAAAAGGCAACTTGTTTACAAATATAATATTATACACCGTGATGCGACCTCTTAAGTATTCATTGAATTTATTTGATACCCTTAAATTATTGCTCCACTCTAAACATTTATGGCACTGTGGTACATCTGACATAGTCTTTGACTAATAAAACCTACGAATTTTTTTCTTTAAGAAACAAAAATAATAAATAATATTGCGTTTTTATTTTATCATAGTATTCGACTAATGTTCAGCAGTGGACTATTAGAGGCTGTTGATGATGACGATAATGACTCGACTAATATGATCATCTATTAAGTAAAATACCCAATATTGTCTTGACAGGAAGTCAGTCAGTGAGTGTGTAAAATATAGTCTATTTTACACACTCACTAGTAATTTAATATGGTTTTGATAAACATCACTGGAAACGTCAAATAAAAAAATTGAGCCGTAGCGCGGCGTCTGGCAGATTTTATTACTAGAAATTATTTTGTATAAAAATGAGTAAGTATTAAAGGATAGCTTATAAAAGCAAATAATGAAATAATTCTTTCACATCGCATGACATGTCAATAGCGTAGCAACGCACGCCGTGGCAACACGTCGCCACGCTAACATCCGGTTTGAATCGCCGCATTAGATGTTTCACATCAAAAATATATAAAAAGCCACTAGATACACAAAATCCGTGGAATCGATAAATACCAGAGTGCCAATAACGTTAGGTTTATATTTGTAACGCATTACACAATCTAATTAATAATTATTTAATATTATGTGCGGTATTATCGTCAAACAAATGTGTCTCACACTGTGACTGTACATTATAAGACTAGAAAATACCTACACAACATTTGAATGATACATTTTATACGCAAATTATTTATATCATTTATAAATGCGCAATTCCTTTCTCTATACTATGTAGTTGTGGTACATTTCTGTTAAGTGCGCACACGCAGAGCGTTCGTATCTGTCGGGGCTGGCGGAAGAATGCAATTGCGATTCTCGCTCCCCCGGCCATTAGCAAGGAGAGGGACACCGAGGTGATTTTTAGTCTGTAGGAGTCCGACAGACCCCTTCGCCATCCCCACTGGTCGAAGGACATCCATGAGGATCTTCCATCTCGTTAACAAAAAAAATAGCATTCCTGTAAGAATTTATTAAAATTTATTATTTCGCCTTTGTTCTTGTGTGCTCACTTAACATAAAAGTACTTACATATAAACTATGATTATGACACAATTTTTCTATAATTACAATTCATATACACATTTTTTATTTTTACAAATATATTTTTTACATTTGCGTACACATCCTAAGTATGATATTTATCACATTATTCTTACAAAAGAGAACTTACCAACAGTACAAAACAACATACAATAATTTAATGACTCCTTACTTGATGACTATTTTAGATAAACTCCCTACTCCATGATATAGATTTTTTTGCATAATATTTTTTTATGTAACAGTGTATAAATTATGTTCAAAGCTGAGATATCAATTGTTAAGTGTCTACAAGTCAAATTCTAAGCAGGTTGAACTTACCGCTCGGCAGCCAGCCTATTATTATTCTTGTAAAAGTAATCAACAGTAAAAACTTTTATGTCTGATACTAAAAGTGTTCATTACTTCATATTAAATAAGCTGTGATTATCACAGTAATTATTTTTTGCTATCCCATATAAAATAATAAAAGATATAAATGTTTTTTATTAATCCTCCCCTAGTCCTTTTATAATGTGTGTGACGTTATGATATCAATATACATAAATCGACTCGTATAATTTGTTTCACTAATGGTTCATAGAAAAAAACAAAACAATATTTTTTACGATCATAAAGTTATTTTTAATGAACGGTTACCGATGATCACAATCGAACAACTAATAAGATCTACATATACGACAGGTTGCTTACAGAAGTATTTATGGATTAAAAACCTTGTTCAAATAGTAATCGTCATTTAATGCGGATGAATCTCTGCATAATTATCCTGCGATCGATTCACTCTTGTGTAAAATATGTCTCAGAAACGCTCGAAAATCCGAAACCGTTTCGATTTCTCGATCGCTCTGCACTCACACAATCGATCTGCACGTAGCTCAAACAACAAAGATGGCTTTTAAACGTGTGGCTGTGCCAAGAAGTGATGCGGGTGCAGCGCGCTGTGGTGCGGCGTGTGGTGCGGCGTGTGGTGCGGCGCGTGGTGCGGCGCGTGCTGCGCGTGGTGCGGCGCGTGCTGCGCGTGGTGCAGCGCGTCGATGTCGGCGTGGTCGCGCCGCGGGGGCGGGGGCCGCGCCGCGCGCGCCAGACGCAGCGGCACCGGCAGCAGCTCCGGCATCACGCTGTGGTGCGTCACCAGCGCGCACAACGACGTGAACTCCTTCGTGAAACCCTGCCGGGGAACACTGACGTTTTAGGCATCGGATCGAGCAAGTAGCTTCATCATCATTATCATCAACAGCCTTTAATAGTCCACTGCTAAACATAGGCCTCTCCTTAGAAAGGTGGCCAAACCTCCTTTCTAATAAGAGCAGTGGGCTATTAAAGTTTTTTGATGTGATGATGTGAAACTATTTTTTTTTCTTCTACTTTTGTTTTAAGGCTAATTATATTAGTTTCATTCGAAAGGTATTTAATTGTTTATTATACGATCGCCTGAAACACAGGTTTATCCTAGTTCAGGCAGGCAGCGAATAAAGTTTTTGAACTAAATTTTATTACACACCTTCATGTGTAAAAAATCTGTATAAATAAAATATTACCTCAGTTTTGCACTGGTGTTACTTAAGAATTAACGACCCACTGTTTAAGGTGTATTATAAATAAAAATATCCTGTACTGTAACATATCAAGGCAAATAAATAAATATTATGTGTATTCTATTTTATACAAACACAAAATATTTAACAAAGTTATCATTCTTAGCTCCGAGAGTTTCAGGAGCATATAATTTATGTGAACCGGATCACGGCGCTTGAACGTAGCAGAAAACGACTACTGACTTTACCTTGATTTTGTACCCTTTAGGGGTTCTGAGTATGAGATAGTGTGCGATGCCGGCGGGAGTGAAGTCCCTCGGAACTCGCACGGATAGCGCGTAGCAGCCGGTCTGCGTCGTGCTGCCACGCACCAGGAACGCGCCCACGGGCTGCGTGCTTAACACCTCCAAGGCTATCTGCAACAGCACAATAACATCATTTATAGAAAATTACATTTTTCAGCGTTCACCGATTTTTTTTACATTTGAAGGTATATCTTTGCGAATTTCTATAACCATCAATTAAGAGCCATCCTAATTCTTTCTATAACCATATTTTTTTCTGTTGGATAAACTAGCATATAAATTAATGTACCCATGTTTAAAATGTTTTACAATAAGGTCTATTCTAAGTCATCAGCGTTCAGCAGCTGATCTCTCACTGTAGGATGTTAAATGCATCACAAATGGCTACAATTTACCTAACTTCCCATATAGATAAGAGTATATAAATGTAGCTACAATATAAGATAAGAAAGGTGTTGACTTTTTTATAACTTTTACTATATGGCACATACCTCTCTAGGAATTCCATGTTGGAACCAAGGCGCTTGTCGTAGCTCAGGTTCGGCTCGAGGCACATTGTTATTGGCCGGAGTGCCGCCGCAGGACGATGCGCCTGACGACGATGACGTTGTTCGGCTACACGCACCGGATTCACTAGAAGCAGATAATTTACATTTTAATATGTGAAGAGAACTCATTGTAGAGTAAAAATATAAATATAACAATATTTTAGTCTTAGATCTGTTATTTATGGTATAAGGGGCAGACAAATCAAGACATCTTCAACTCAAGAGATACAAATGCGTTGTCGTCCTTTGAATGTCAACCCTCCTTCCAGAGTAAGACAGGGGGGTTAGATATTTTCCAGTGATCTATAGTTAAAATAAATAGACAAATTGTGTTTTAGATGTTACAAAGTTTAGGGGGTGAGTTTAGAATAATGGCAAAGCAAGCAACCGAAACACAAAAGCACAATCGTTGTGGTTAAAATATTTAAAATAAAATGTTCCTGAAAAATATTCATAACTGTAAAGTCGTGACCCAGTTTCTATTGAGCGCTATCATCGCGGTAATTTAATGTAAAACCTTCACAGAACAAAAAAAAAAGACATTAGAATGGTCTGAGTTTTAAGTCCTGCCTCGTTACCCGGATTTTCTCTCTTCCAAAGAAAGTGCCATTGACCCTTTTAGGACTAATAGTATGGGTACTTTGCTTTGTCAATGAATGTAGCCAACAGGGTATAAATTATAACGGTCATACGAATCATAAGGACACCTTGAATTAACCGAATGTTAAACGATGTTCCAGAAATTTCCAGAGATAAGTCAAGTCAATCGGGATATTTAGAGATTTGATGGGTTTTAATCTTCTAGAACTTTATATAAGACAATCCCGATATTGGATGCATTCTAGTTTTGCAATTCAGCAGCAAACATGTATGCAGAATATTATTAATGGCATAGGGCAATGGAGTAAACGGGATCTCCGGTGAGTGACTACCGCCGCGTTAATACCCTTTAAGTCCAGAATTAGGGTGGGGGATTTAGAGCTCCGGTATTTTTCTTCAGCCATTAATATTTACCTGTTTTTCATATTATTACATCTTCTGAAATCGACATCTAAATCTCCGTGCACTAAGTGTTCGGTACGTCGAGGCGCGGCAGGCGCGACTGGCATCGTAGGCATGGTTGGTATTGTGGGAGGCTCCCGGTTGCTCTCTCGAGTTCGTTGTTCAGCTTCGGAAGCCTCGTTGATGTAACCGCCGTTGAGGCATAAGGGTAGGTTTGTTGGGCTGCATAAGAAGTTCAACCTATGTTAGTCGTTAGTAGACGTATCCTTATTTCAATGATATTATTTTCTTCAAATTATTGTCCGAAGTGTTAAGTAGTATCTACCAGATGTTGTGAATAGAACTGTATTTAATCTACTTAAAAAATAAGTCTAGTTGTGTTAGGTTTCTTTTATTAACTTACTTATAAAAAATATTTAGATTATACATGGTTGTATGTGCAGGATTTCCATAATTCTCAATAAATTTTTGCAATATCAAACGTAGTTAATCTCAAAATTTTGTGTCCGGTTTAGCTTACCAGTTATAGAATGATCTTTAGTCTCTGTATAAGTATACTAAATCTTGTGAATTAAAAAGTGTCCTAATATTTTATTTTTATTCTATAGACATCAATTACTATCAATAAAAAGCACTAACGTTGTAGGTGTATCAGCGACGAGTGGCGTGGAGTCATCATCGGAAGGCTGTAACAAGGCACCGCTGAGTCCCATAGCTAGCCGCTTCATGAGCGGGGGCCGCTCGCCAAGGCGCCTGTAGCAATTGATCTCTGTTGGCGAGTTCGACTCCTCCGAACTGCTCGGGCTAGGCTCGTTTACTAGTTTTGAAACACCCATTCTGTCACATTTCATTGGGGATCTGTAAAGTGAGATGATTTTCCTTCTACTAAAATATATAAAAGAAGAGCTATTTTTCCTTTATTAATTTAGTGTTTATATACTAGAGAGTTTTTAATAAATTCTTTTGTTGATAATAAAATAATATAATGGTTACTAATATTTTTTTATTACAACTGAAGTACTAAGAATATATACTCTGTCGCGAGGGTTTTACAGACATCTATGAAACGGACACAAAGAACACCCAGATTTAGAACAACAATTTGTGGATCACCTAAAGTGTTGTCCCATGTGGAGATCGAACCCACAACACTTTGCACTTTGCGGTAATGATCGATATGATCTATTAAACCGCTACACCGTCCGTACCGTCTTTATTTCTATATTTCTATAATTTTGTAATAAAAACACGTACACACAATTCCTTAGCCACGCGAACAGGCCTCCTATGAGGTTTTTATTGACTTTCGTACGTTCTCACAGAGTATGTTAAACATTCAAGGTGAAGGTTCGTACCTGTCACCACAATGTGGGTAATGATGCGTCAGGCCGGGCAGTGTGTCGGGCGCACGCACACCCATGCCGCAGTCGCTTCCACTTAGCTCCCTGCTCTGAAACAAATACAACAATAATAATTAATTGACTGCCTCGATGGCGCAGTGCTAGTTTATGCGACTGCTGTGCTGAGGTCTCGGGTTCGATTCCCGGGTCGAACCAAATGTTTGTATGATCTGCAAATATTTCTTTCGGAGTTTAAGTATTTTCTATGTATAATATTGGTTGGTGCAAGGTCTGGTGAGTATGGCGGATGAGGGAGAGCTTCCAACCCCAGCTCTTGCAGCTTGGAGACTGTCTGTTGCGCAGTATAGGGTCGCGCGTTGTCGTGAAGGAGCAGTGGGGACGACCGATTGACCAAAGCTGGTTGCAGATGTGACCACCAGACCTTGCACCTACCGACTATTATTTTTTCCAAAATTTAGACGACTTTTTAGTGGGTTTCAAATTCAATTCCCGAGAGGCAGTACAAAATGCCTTTGAAGAGTTTGTTGCCTCCCGTCCAGCTGATGTTTACAAGAAGGGCATCAATAAACTGCCAATGCGTTCGCAAAGATGCGTCGATTGCATGGGTGATTACTTCGAATAACAGAAAGAAAAAAGTTTGAAAAAATAAGTACTTTCACTTATTGCATACAAAACGGCAATTTCATAGGTAAAGACCTATAGTACCTAAGTATAGAAGTCTTCCATCAGTCATCTAGCTTTCATAGTACAAGCTCTGCTTAGTTTGAAACTAGATGGCGTTGTGTGTCAGATGTCTGAAATATTATTATTATTTAAAAAAATCATATTGCGCAGCTTTTATCATTCTCTACGTCCGTTGTAAGTAGTGATGAGCTAATTAATTATTTCTCAAACCAGAGTAGGTAATTTACAACAATCCTACTTTTGTTGATAATGTTTTTGTTAAGAATAACAATAATAATATTTTGGGACAAATTACTATAACTAACTCCGAGATAACGCTGCATCCTATAGGTCGTCAAAATATCAATCGGCTAAGTAAGAAGATACCCTATTATGTATTTTTACAATATAAAATACATTTAAAAATATAAAAACTAGTGCCCCATCGGTATCGGGTACAGGGGCCAAGATATTGTTGGTTAGGACTCCAGAGACAGAAACCTCCTCACAATACCTGTATCGAGAAGAACTGTTTTCTACATCAGGCCCTTAATCCAACTGCATAACGCGAGCCTCTGAAGATGTTGGTCGAAGCTCTTATCGTTGCTTATCTTCATACGTGACTAGTAGATACAGGTTTAAGTCACACTCTACTTAATTAATGCTAACATAACTGAAAGTAATTTTGTGATCATAATATCATTGCTCACCCATCCCATTATTATTACATACACACATACATACACTCATGCTCTCCAGACGGGTAGTCAGAACCGTATTAAATACATATGAGCACATAACATCTGATGGCATGGCAGTTAGTTGATAGCTGTTCACTTAAAACTTTAGGTACCAGATCACGATTCTACAAATATCTAATTATAGAAAGTGGTGTTGTTGACAGCCTCGAAGCAAAGGCCGTTGAAAAGGACGTAAATATACCGTTAGACAGGCACACAATAGAACTGTTCCAATATTTCGACGTGATCACGCAACGCATAAATCAACCGCATTCTTAGTGAGGAATGCGGGCTTTATCTCGTTGCTACAGATGGGATCGGTCCATGAACATTACTGTGTGTTACTGCACATTACAGCTTATTGCAGTGTAAGCCACGTTTGAAATGTGGCACAGGCAGCCAATGTAAGGTGTACATGATTTATAATTCGTACAATATTCGCGCGTTTTGCAGTAGTGGTTGTTCCACTGGCTTTAATGTAGTAGATAGTAAACATAATTTGTATATTCAGCGGGGCTATTTTGTCTAAGATACAACGAACACTATTGACAACCTCTGACTGTCGTAAGAGATCTGAACTTTGTGCCGTACATACGAGTATATTAAACACCCATTTGACAGAATTATTAGCGAACCTTGCAGTTTTTGCATATGATGTGGAACATCTGACATCTCACCTTCCATCTGACAGATAACTCCAGTCAAATCGAATTGGGGAGTGTAAGTCATAGCTTGTAACTCTAACTGGGTCTTTGCCGAACAATCGACTTCCGTAACTTAATAACACACAAATACATACATATTGCATAAACACCTAGACTATTGTCTGTGTGGTGACGGATTAAGAATACAGTGTCACTACCCCTATTCATCCCGTGGGTGTCGTAAGAGCCGACTAAGAGAGTAAACTACGCAGGACAGCAGCACTGCATAGAGAAGGAAAACTTGACACAAACCCTATACCAACCCGTCTGGCCAGCATGGTATAGTAGGCCAAAACCTCCTTTCTAAGTAGAGGCCTATGTCCATCAGTCGACTGTTAAAGTTTGTTGATGATGATGATGGCCTAAACTATAGCAAAACATGCATTCAAATATTTCCACTATGCGGTAACCAAACCAGTGGCTCGTTCGTGGTTTGATCGTTTGCAGATCGTAATTAAACAATTATATCAAGTCGATTCCATTAACGTTTATCACCGAAGCGCATTTATCAAAAGTTTTAATCTTGTCGCTTACGGTAAAGTTTATTGTCAATGTTAAAAGCTCCAATATATATTAAGTAGATAAGTCTTAAGGTAAGTTTGAATATTTAACCAATTGTCTTTATTGTAACAGAAAAAAGGAATGCTTTTAAAATGAAAACATTATGACAATGAGTAATGAGTGTAAAACATGGGTCCTTAATAGTAATAGTGAGTCACATTGTATACCTAGTAACCACAGATATCTTGTTAATAACCCGTTCTTAATAAAATATTACTCGTAGCGTCCGCTTCGGGGCCGGGTGCAATTAAAAGCATACAAGTGACACGAGAAAGAATTGTGCGATTAATCTTACTCTCTTATTTTCACTGTGTTTTTAGCACAAGAAAGACTCTCTGTATTAAAATGTACTAATTAAAAGTAATTAAAAGGTCCGTGTGGTGACGGATTAAGAATACAGAGTGTCACCCGTCACTATTCATCCCGTGGGTAAGTAAGAGTAGAGTAGAGTAGAGTAAGTTCGTAAGAGCCGACTAAGGGAAAAAACTACGCAGAACAACAGCACTGCAGAGAGAAGGAAAACTTGACATAAACCCTATACCAACTCTTCTGGCCAGCGTGGTATAGTAGGCCAAAACCTCCTTTCTAAGGAGAGAGGCTTATGTCCAGCAGTGGACTATTAAAGGCTGTTGATGATTAAAATGTAACTAATCCATTTACATTTGATAACTCAATTCTAAAGAAGGTGGTTTAACATCAGGCTATGACACTTAGGAGCGAGTAGTGACCGTCACAACTTCTAACTCAAATTGTGTAACTGTGTATTTGTATCCTTTCACATCAAATCACATCACATCAACAGCCTTTAATAGTCCACTGCTGGACATAGGCTTCTCCTTAGAAAGGAGGTTTTGGCTTTTTTTGTCCATTCAATGCCAGACAAATATTTGCATGCTGTTATTATTTAGAAATGTGTACTGTGTTTATAGTTTCAGCTTTTTTTTGTTTAAAGGCTTACTAGCATCCGAAATTACTAGTATTCCCGTTAACCCCTTAAAATTGCTCATGTCAGGAGTGGGTTCAAGTCTTTAGTGCAATGTTCAGGATTCGAACCCACGACCTCTTGATTGCAAGTCCATTGCCTTAACCACTAGGCTACCGCCGCTTTTTATGCAAATATTATTATTATAAACACGAGAAATATTCAATTGCTTATAAAAGGTCCCATAATTAATATTACTTTATGTATGTAAAAGTGATGCTGGGGCTTGAAGCCCTAATAACATTTCAACGTGTTTTATTATTGTTAAGTCGTAGTCGCAGATCTCTTTCTCAATACTCAGATTGTCAAGACTCAGACGTAAAGAGTGTTATTGGCTTTTATTGTCAAAGAAATTCTTACTAACAGCTCCGGGGACTTGAATTTGCTTGTGTTACCTTCAGTGCTTCGGAAACCAATGTCAAGTGCATCTTATCTGTCTGCAGTAGTGTCGTTATCCTTGTGTATGTTATATTGATAGATTAGGTAGTGTTCTCGTGCACTCCTGTTTCTTATACATACGTAGTAGGATTCTCTCGTTGGCATTGGACGTAGCGTCGAAAATTCATGTAATAAATTACCTATTATCAATTTAATTTATTGATAGTTACATGTAAAGGTATATAGTAGGTCCAATATATCATAAGTAAATAAATTTATCGGTAAGGTAATAAAGGGGATTTTTCAAGAACAAAAAACAAGTAAACCGTTTCTACTCAAGTACTACCACCCACATTCTCCGAAATCTTCGTGAGCAGCTTAAAAATACATCCATATCCGCTGTTCGAACGTAAGTCGGCAATACTAATATGTATAATAGGCGGGGAACGTTAATAGACGTCCGTGTTTGCGTGACACCGCCGCTCTCGCGGACGTCTATAAACGTTGTTTGACGTAAATATCCGTTACGCCGATAATGCATTCTAATAAAACTGTTTGAAGGGTCGTTGTAAATACGATATTTTCGGTTATTGACTGTTGTTTAGGTGACCTGTTAATTAAAAAAAATTACCTACATGTTAATTATTTACTCAATTTGTTAGAGTTAATTTATTACTGTTTATATCATTTGCATATATCGTACATACACATACATATCTAGGCTTTAAATTTGTTTTGTAATTATTGTAGTAATCACATAAATAAATCGGACTAGTGCATGTTCACAGCGCACCAAAGTATACGTACTAAGTAGTATGTAGACAGATTATTTCTCTCGGGAATTGATTCTCAAAGATTTTTGCCCGCCGTTTCCTAGTTCTTTTTTTTGTTAAAATACAACACCCGCATTAGGCATATATCCTGTGGGGACTTTACAAACATACACGAAACGGACATAAAAAACACCCAGACTCAGAACAACAATTTGTGAATCACACAAAATGTCGTCCCATGTGGGGATCGGACCCACAACACTCAGCGTAGTAGTAAGCGAGGACCGC